TGTGTGTATGTGTGGAAAATTCACGAAACCGTGATTTACAATTATGTTTTATTGTATGAACACGTCTTGCTATTTTCATATATATATATATATATACTTGTTTAAAGTATAATCAGTGTTTAAAAATAAATAAGATTCTAAAATAATTCTAAAGGACAAAATTGTAAAAACATTAAAATAATCTTTACATAAACTGGCCGCAGTTCTTTTTCCTTATATTATATATAATATATATACTGTAATATAATAAATTTCATGAAAAAAAGAAATGTGATTTCCTCTCGCGATCGAGGCATTATGTGCACGTGTTTTCAACTATTTCAAATACAAACTTGCTACATAAACTTGCTTTTGCATTATATAAGCTCTATTGATAATATCTATCTCATTTAACAAATTCACTATTTCCGCGATGTGCGCCGACTGATACCAATTAGTATTAATGGAGTAAGATCGATACAAAAAGTTGCGAGAGTTGTCGAAGCATTACATAACGATGTGTCTTTTTTATCCGAACAGTCATGCTTGAATGAAAATTCTAATCGAATTTGTTTCCAGAAAGAAAGATTTATCGACAATTATTAATTTTATAGTCTTCCACGCAAAATCACATTAGCCATGGCTGTAATAATTAACGCTGACTAAAACGAAATCAAATCTTAAAAGATTTTGTAGTCTATTTTCTGTCTGCACACTTATCTCATAAAGTGTATATCTTTGCATACCTATGTAATTCTCGTCTCGTATATTTTTACTGATTGCGATGCTCATACTAAACAAACAAAGCTTCCACCGACATATTCTAACAAACGTGTTAAACACTTGTCGATAATATGAGCTGGAACTTTCCTCGACGATTGTGTCAGAAGGTTAATAGAGAAGATTGTATTGCTTTCGTGAAGCGCGCACACACAATAGCTTAATCCGAAAACAGAATTATAAAAGATAATTGTTCTTTCAAAATTCTAAACTAAGTCAATAATAATATACAGGAGCATATATATATGTATAATAGTCAAATACAAGTTCTACAAGTGCAAATATATACATATATATTATATATAATTTAAATTATACTATATGTAATATTACTACAATATTGCAGTAGTCTTTTTCAAAAATTGTAATCTTTTAAAGTAATATGGCTGCAATATTGTTACAACATTTCGTACTGCAAGAGTCACGTCATTGCTATTGGTCCTGAATTAGACAAAGAGTGATATAAAAAAATTTTAATATTTTTTATTAAAGATAAATTATTGAATGCGCGCGCGCTCGCACATAAGTGTATACGTATATAAAATACATCTAAAAAACATCTAAAAATGAGCGTGTGTGTATATACATATATATATAATATATATATTGGAATATATACGAGTTTCTTTTTATTCGATTTAACATTACTTGACGAATTTGTTTTTAGCTGACAAAGTTTACTCAAATCTGAATGAAAATTTTTTTGTATTTACTCCGTAAATAAAGTAAAAGAAAAAAGTAATTTATATATTTTTTAAAAAGCTTTGTCAAAAATAAAGACCTTGATTATTCAAAATATGTAAGCGACAGAATTTATTAATCTTATACATTCCATTTTAGTAGCTGCAACCGCATAAAACTCATCATTAGAAACAGAAATAAAGAAACAGAATCATAATTGTAAATTAGTGTTATTTAATTGTGATATATTATGCTTTGATCACAATTTTATTTTTAAATAATAATTAGATTGTTTTACTATCTCGCAATTAATGTTTAGAGGAAATATATACAGAGGCAGGAATTTTTAATTATTATTTATTCATTAGCAATCGTCTAGTATATATGTATTACATATGCCTTTTAATTTAGTCAAAAATTCTAAAGTGAATTCTATTAGGTTCATTGGAGTTAATTCACACACACATTGATACAATTAAACAAAAAAAAATCGCATTCTCTAATGCTTGCGAAAGAATATCTAATTTATTTTTTTTTTATTAGAAATAACAAAAGTGTCTTACAATATTTTTATTAATTTATCAAATACTTTATACAATTTCGTATAAAAAACAAAAAAGCCACATTGTTAACAAAAATATGTTTTAATATTCGTCAACTTCTGCTAAAGAGTACACAAAACTTACTTACCAATTCGATCGATTCAATTGATATTCCGTTTTCTGACATTTTGACAAAAAATACTATACCATAATCTCACAAATTCGATCGAGCGTCCAATTCAATTCGAGAATCTAATAAAAGTAAATTCAGAGGCGCGCACGTTTGAAAAGATGCACGAGTAAAGTTTTTCCGTCCTTAATTGCCTATAAGTATATCAGACGTATTGAAAAATATATCACATGCGATCTTCTCTTAAATACAATCATGCTATGACACTATCCGCAGCCCATGTCTGCCTCTTTAAGTGGCTGCATGCTTCTCCGTTGCGCTTACTATCCCCTCCGAGTAAAGTGCGACATGCCGATAATAAATAATTAGGGAATAAAAAGTTACTTTTTAAAAGTAACGAGTTACCGTTATTATAGCTTTTTAAAGAAATTTTTTTATACTTTGTAGAAAACCAGAAGATTATATAGGATTGTATAGGACTATCTGAATCATAATATAAGTTAGAAATTAAAAGAAAAATTAAGAAATACAAATAATCTCTTTATTATAATACATTATAATAATAATTAAAGCTATATTTTTACTGAATCTATACGTTTTGTAAATCAAATATTTTGATAGAAAGAAAATTATAACGCTATAATTAAAATATATAACAGAAGTTTTGCAAATAAGGGTGTTTTCCAATTGTTCAATATAAATGTACACAGAAATGTATAGAGTAAAGCTTTGTACACAGCTCAATTAGAACAAAATGTGTAACGATGTTTAGATTAAGTTAAACTAAATATATGTAGCTTGTACGTTCGTATTAAATAAAAACATTCAATGTCTTACAATCACATTTATAACTGTCGTAATTGTAATAACATGTAATTGTTATATAACAAAATAACGTATCCAATTATATGCAAAGTAACGATAAAAGTAAATTTCGTTACTGTTGTCCAAAAAATGTAACTATACGTAGAGTTGCCAAAAAAACGTAACGCAATTATCAGTAAAGTTATCAAAAAAGCAATTTGTAATTGTAACTTCGTTACAAGTCGTTACTTGTAACGAAGTTACTTCCATTCCCTGTAAATAATAGAATTACATAGATGTTTGACGGTTTAACAACGAGATTGATTAGCATCTTCGCAAATGAGAGAAGAGTGTTGAGACAAAGACTACATGAGGATAGTAAGGCAAAAATATAAAATCGATGAAATATATTTTAGATTACCGGCAGTGTGAAATCACAAATCTTATAGTAATATTATAGTATCATTAATAATATTATTATCTATTATTCTATATAATAATAACATATGATATCTTATTGTTCATCTTAGTGCCTTTCTTACGATAGTCATTTAAAAGTTAATTACGGCTTATGTATCAGAACCACAAAATAATCGACAATAAATAATAATCAATGGCGTATAAGCGCAATTACTTCTAAATTTCTTTATATATATACCTATATATATAATTTTTTTTAAGTATATAATTATTCAAAACAAATGTAAAATTTTGAGAAATTTTATTTAATCAGCTTTGATTTTTTATTTAAATAAATCATGCAAAAAGTTAGCACCTTTTCAATGTTAATACAATATTTGTTTATAGAAAAATGTATCACATTATGCTAGCTATGCAATCGTATAATCTTATAAATTTTTTTAGATTATCTTGATTTTACGTAACACTTTTTGCGTGTTACTAAACTCTATGTAATTTACAATATCATCGATTCTTATAATTGCTGCTTAAATTTAAATAAATTGTTATATCAGTGACTCATTTATTGCAACCTTATAAAATCAGGATAAAAGCAGACTTATTATTAAATAATAAAGGTATTATTTATGGAATATCTTTATATATGTATAAAAAGTTATAAAATTTATTCAACATTTATTTTATTCTTTAAAGAATTAAATGTGCATAATAAATTCTTAGTAAATTCGAATTATAATAATTACATACAAAATACAGAAAAATCTAATCATGAAAAAATAGATCTAGTTGTAAAAATTGATTTATTTAAGCGTGAAAAATTTCATACATATATGGATATAGATTGATGATATTTATATTAAATTCAAATGCCTGAATATTTAAATTGAATTTAAATGTAACCGCCGAAATGTATAAATAAATAAAAAAAATTTAATTTGTCTTAAGAATAAATGTGATTGACTTACATAACTTACGTCAGCCAATCAAATCGTCTTAACTAAAAAAATGTGTAATATCTGATACAATTTGATTGGTTCACGCAAGTTATGTCGCACGTGACGGCATTTTTACGCTCTTATGTTTGGGCTGCGTTCAAGAACATTACCCGAGTGCACCCGTGTATCGTCTTATTCTTGTTTAACATGGTTGGACAACAAGGATAAAACGATATACGGGAGCACTCGGGTGATGTTTTTGAACGTAGCCTTGATGTTCTCATGTAAACATACCTTAAAGATGCCTCTTCATGCTGATGACGCTCGGCGAGTATCAAGCATCAATTCTAATCACGTGACCAGTGCAAAAAAACACCTCACGAAAAAGAACGGAGTGATCGCTCTCCAGATTGCTCCAGATTTCTCTCGGACTCAATCGTAGTATTCGCTGTGTTGTTTCCATAACTTTTTAGGAAGGCAGTGGCCATTAATTAATTAACCGTTATATTATCTGATCATAACCAGGAGGTGATTGATTACCGCGTCGTTTTCTTGGCGTGCAGTGTAGCAAGTGCAAAATATAAAACTTACAATCAGCTACAAATAGAACAGACCTATTGGTGTTTTGATGATCGTAGTGATTTATCATTGCCCATCATCGTTCCAGGGTTCCAGTTGTGGCTAAAGCAGGCAAGCCTGATTATACCTAACTAGTAGATGTATCTGCCGTTATGGTTAAGTTCTATTTGTAAACTGTAAACTTAGTACTGCCGTTTGATGTTGGAAGCCTTTATTCGCAGAACGATCGGATCGTCTCTGAAATTAGTGATAGCTATCGACTTTTCCTAGCAATATTTGAGCGTCTAACGTATTTGTATCGTTTACGCAATGGACGAGTATGACGAACCGTCAGATGTCGAAATGGTGCCTTTTGATGAAGTGGAAAGATCTAAAGCTACATTAAAGCCAGAATTACAGGTAACAGAAATGAGTGATTTTAATTGATATATAGATATGTTGTTAATATCATTTTTTAGTGCTCCAAATAACACTAATAAATTCTTGTAGACATTGGAGAATAATTCTGAAAAATCAATAGACACATCAAGCATAGATATATTTAGCATAAAGGAAAAATTGAAGTTAGAGGAACGAGCAAAGCGTTTTGGCTTGGCAGAAAAATGCAATGAATTATCAAATCTAGAGGTTGATTTGTATAACAGGTATAAAATACTTAATTTGGTAAATTAATTTGATATCTGTTTTTTATTCTTGCTTATGTATATTTGTTTTACTTTAATTTATTACACCATGTGCACTAGTTCAGACAGTGCACGAATAAAAAATAGATCTTTGGTGAAAGCAGTTGCTGCTACTTCATGTATATATAATATATGTATATATATATAATTATTGCAGCTTGGGTATTATAGATGATGAGAACGCAAAGAATGTTCGATTGAATGTAATTCACATGAGAGGAACTGAAGATATGAGCACTCAAGATATATTCAAATATTTTCAAGATTATTCTCCTGTATCAATTGAATGGATCAATGATGTATCATGTATGCTTCAAAAACTTAATTTTATTTGATAGAATAACAATATATCGTTTGCTATTAACATTTTGATATATTATTTGTAATATTACAGGCAATGTAGTCTGGTTTGATAAAGTAATGGCAGCTAAAGCTATGCTGGGATTATCTAAGAGAATTTTAGGCAGTATTGCAAAATATTCGGATCGAGAGAACGATTCTGAAAATAGAAAAGATGACACAGTGAAAGCAGATGAAGAAAACGAACCTATCAATGCAGACAAGAATGGAAAGGAAGACAATTGCATTAGCATTAAAGATATTGATTATCCATTACCTCCTGGTATATGGAGAAAAGGTATCGATTACCCAAAATCTAAAGGAATCTACTTGAGATTCGCTACCAAGGCGGATAAAAAACAGGGCAACGCGGAGAAAAGAAGTGAATACTACAAAAAGTATGGAAATCCCAACTTTGGAGGTAAATGTAATTTTGTATAGCAAAATAAATCAGAATTAAGAATCATGAAGGCAGATGGTAAGATGATTTTGTTTCTGTCTAAATATGTAGGTATCAAAGGAATTCTAACGGAATCTCGTAAGCGTATGTACAAGCAAACAAAACAAAGTAAACATAAATCATTGAACGAGGACAAAAATGAGGATCAAGCAAAAAACCCATGGGGCACATTGTCTGAGACATGGGGTTTGAATGATGTTGTGGAGGATGATTTTCTTCCAAAGAATGGTGTTAAAGATCAAGGATGTAGCATAAAGAAAAGACTAGGTCTCAAGTACCCGGAAAAGGATACGGTAGCTGAAGAATCGGGTGAGGCTAGTTCGAGTAGCGATAGTGACGAGAGTTGGTGTAAACGGAGTAAAATTCCCCGCATGCGAATGCACGCTGATGATGAGGAGGAAAAAGTACAGAAGCGTCGAGAGAAACTTCGATTCCAAGTTAGTTTTTTAATCTTTTTTATTAGAATTTTTCCTTAATTCGTTCCACAAATTATATTCAAGATATATCTGTTTCTTTTAGATGATTCTGAACAACTTAAATAACAGCGGTGACTTGCGATCAAAGTTAGGAAAACCGAAATCAAAAATGCAATATCATGAGCCCATTCAAGTAGTAGTCACAAATACGAATGCTGTAAATTCGAAACGCAATAATTCCGGAATAATTCGGCAGCAGGGCCACCAGAATGTGAAAGAAATACACTCGATGGAAAGAGAAGAAGGAGAATGGCAGGAATCGGAAGAGGATGAACATGAAGAAGAAGATAAGGAGGAACAGAGACTTGGCCAGATGAATACAGAAGAACGAGAAGAAGGAGAAGAAGAGGAAGAAGAAGAAGAAGAAGGTGAACATAATGAAGATGAAGAAGAGAGCAGCGAAGAAGATGTAACTGCAAAGGAGATTCAGGGTCCTAAAGGCAGTGTGATAAAAGTAGTCCCGCCCAAACCACGTATTGCATCCACTGTGTGGGCAAGATTAAATCATGGAAAAAGCGAAGCTAATGACAGCTACTTAAAAAAGAGGTAAAGAAATATAATTTTTCTCAATCATATTTTTCACTTTTAACTACAAGTTAGTAAAAATTAGAGGCAGTTTGACTGTTTCACTGAGATCGTTTGGTTATCAAAAATCTCCACAACTGCTATGTGTTTTCTTATCAATTTTTGTTGGAATAAATGTTTTATAAACTAATTAATTTTTAAAATTAAATGTTCCGGCAATATTTTTTAACTTGCTGGTTTTATTAAAATAAAGTGAAGGTGAATGTTGCAGAGCTATAATAATGTGTGATACAAATTGTGATTAGAATAATGTTTAATATATGCCTTCTAGTATCTTTGGAAAAATACACATCTTTTTTAAATATATGGGTATAATTTATTATTATATATATTTACGTATACATCTGCAAACGAGTTCATGAGCTCTGATTTTTTAAAGGTTATCAAACAGCCGCGATTTGAGGACTACTCTAAAAGGCGGTGACCTGCGATCACGTATTGGAAATCATACCAGAGGACGTTCTCCGTTGAGAATAGAAGTAAAAAACGACAAGTACACAAAAAACAAAGATTGATTCCTGTACGAACAAACTAATTGTTCAAAAACTTGAAACTTGTAAAAAGCGCTCCATTCAGATGTAGTGTTTTAAGATTTTTTCGTAACATTTTATATCGGCTACAGTGGGATATAGTTGTAATTTAGCATGTGATTATACATGTATTCAAGTTGATATAATTTACAGACTTAATGTAAAGTTTTTCTTTATGTTCATCGTTGGAAAAATTGCAATTTTTTACACATGCATGTATCATAGAAAGAGACGAATATTGATACATATAAAATTTTTTTTTGTACTATACGTTATTAATCGATCTTCCAGTAATAATCATTATTTTTATCATTAGACAGATAATGAATGCTTCCTATAATATCGCGTGTAAATTTGATGACATAGATCATGTATCTACAAACTAATGTATATTTCTACAAATAAAAAAGAAAAATGGAGTACTTCGAACAATTAAGTATTTTGACCGACATATTTGTGCAATTATGGAGAAAGAAAAATTTCGAAGAGATTTCTCTTATGTTGCTTCGAAATTATAATGTAAAACAATGTAAACTTTTGCACGAAGAATATTATACGAAAGTATAGTTTCGTAAGCTCTCAGAACAGCATTGCGTTTTTTAGATGATGAATTTTATAAAAGTAATTCTTAAAAAGAAAGAGATAAGTGATGAAAGAAATAAATAATAGAAATAATAATAATCTACGTATGCTGTGTTAATTCATACCGTTTCTCTGATATATTTTCTTATCGTCGAATTTTTCACTTGATAAATTTTGCCGATATCACGCGATAAATTGTGAAAAACTATGCAAAAAGCTCATTAAACCTTTATTAGTTTTCAATATGATGTGAACCAAAAACGAAACTAACAGAAAGCATTTCTTTGTAATTTAAAATGTAAAAATTTTTTAAACAGGGACAAATAACACAGTGAAGATAATTGGCCAATAGTCTTTTTATATTAGTACAATAATAACTGGAATAGCTATTTAAAATACAATAATCGATAATGATTATTTAACATGAATTATGAAGATTCGTTACGAATAACAATTATTTGGAACAACAATCGAGGTAATAAAAAAATCGGATAAAGAACACAGTAAGTACATTTATTTCTTAACTGCTTAGCTACATTCATAGGTTCTCATTTATAAATTTCTTCGTTCAATATTTTATATTTTAAAAAATAACTCCAAATCAAAATAAATGTATTTGATTTGATTTAAAATATTGAAACGATCCATTTATCGCTTTTGCGGCTAATTTTTAATCTCATACTACATTATATATGTTTCATATTTGTTGAATGAACGATGCATTAAAAATTATGTAATTTTATTTTATTTGCATATTTGATTATCGCTTTGCCTACACAATAATTTTATGTCGAACATAAAATTATGTTCGCTATAAACATGATTAAAATTTAATCTGCTTTAATATTTTGGCTTTCTGATTACTTAATTTATTGTATTCATTGAATAGTTCTACTTTTAATGAAATCTCCCAGAAAATTGCAAATTTAGGAGCATATTTGAGGAAGAAATCCAATTAATGCTATCGATCCAACGCGGTAGAATAATCTACCCTGATTAAAAGCATTACAGTTTCAGCTTTACAATCTTGTTAGTTAAATAATAAGATAATATTTACAGTCGTTTTATAAACGCTATGAATGCAGCTTTAGCGACAAGAAACTATTAATGATTCACAGCGACACAATTAAAACGGACAAGCGATATCTTTTACGATATTGCCGTTCGGAGATTTGACATGATTAGAGTTGGAATTACAAGAAACCGAGGGATAGAAACAATCTCGGAAGACGAAATGCTGGCCTTTTTGTTTAATCGAAAAGCTATAAGAGGGCCACCATTCAGTTGAATTGCTGCTCTATAGATTCTTGCGTCCCAAATTGGTTCAAGCGTTGATTGCGATGGTATAAATACATCTTCCCATGATGGAATTCATGCGGCACATATCTGCATACGTTTGCTGCGTACGATATGAAAAATCCAATCTTGCCCGTCGTTGAAAAGGCGGTAGTGCGGCCCTTTCTCTTCAAAAGCTTCTTTTTTTTCTCCCCTCCTTCATTTCTATTCTACGTAAAAATGCTAAATAATTTAGTCAACCACTCGTTAATTCGAAAATTAACAACTGCCATTCTACATGTCGAGGAAACGGCACATTACTCCTCCATCTCGCTTTGCTGCCGCTTTCTACTCTTCTTTAAAAGTTCAATGATATAGCCGTCGAAGTAACATCGAAAATCGACAGACGAAAATATTCTGTGAATGTTCCAGATATACAAGAATCGGCAACAACAACAAGTACACATACATAACTTTAAGTATATTAGGCCAAATGATATCGTTAATATTTCGATATATTACGCGTAACGTTCTACGTTCATCATCTCAGCATTTTCTCCAAAACACTTGTTTTTCACCACACCTTGTATCACAATCCAAGTAGCACACAGCCTAGAAAGTGTTAAGAAAGCTCTAAAGTGTATATAAGCACTTTTCTAGCGCTTTGCAGTTAGGCACTGCTGTGCTACTTGGGAATCTATATGTATGTACTACGTATCCAATTATCAGTGACAGCGAGAGCTTCGATTTCTCGTCGGCTTACAATTTCGCAGAGCGCACGATTTTATCATCGCTTGCCCATGATTTATGATACCATATAAGAACTGTTTAAAAGGCCTCGGTCGTGAGAGAGCATTCTTCAAAAGGACTCGATATACGGAACGCATCCGTTGATGTAACGGGTATCTTATTTAACTCTGCAGTAGTGATATAAGGTCGTAAAAGACTCCGTCTGCTGAGTCAGCGTGGTTAAACATTTTACAGGGAGAAAATAGCTGAATGTGTGTATTAAATTCTAACATATTATTGTAAACTGGTATGAACTGGTTTTTTGTCAAAACGAATGAAACTCTCTGTAAAGAGATCACACTCACTGTACATTATTTAGTAGATGGTTTTCAGAAATCTCAATTGCAAGATTTAGCATATCAATTTAATTTAAATTTTTAACTGTCATGGGAAGAGAAACGTGTAAGAAATAGAAGCACAATACATTGTATCTCTTTGTACTTCCATGTGGAATACTTATATAACGGCTAAGATTCATCCATGGATCGTAGGAAGATTGATACACATTTACTTTACTTTGAGTTACACGTACAACTAAAAGCATTCAAATTTGTCATTCCCTAGCACCATCTAACGCGGAATGATCTAATTTAGAATCTGTCGTTAGAAAGGATTCTCCTTATAATTTCATTTTGGAAGATATTATGCCTATGTATATGTCGTGAGGTAATTCAACTATTTATTACCTAATTGTAATTTGTGCATATTTTGTAATCGAGATTTGTAGCGCGCAAGAAAACTGTAAACCGCGAGAGATTCCTCAACTCTTTTGCCCACGACAATTTGCCAAACGAATTCGCACAACGGATAAACATCGAAGGAAGATAAATATGTATTAAATCGGAGACGGAGATTGAAATCATAACGTTATGGTAATGACAGAACATTATTCGCTGTTACGTCCCTCGCATTCTTAGGAAGGAGGCGAGGCGTATCAGCATGAACCAGCCTCAACGAGAATCCGTAATTACTAGAAATGTATCTTAGATCTAGATAAGAATCTTACGAACAATGAATTTTTATTATTAATTTATTTTTTAATTCTTTAATTATTATTATTAGATTATCGAAGAACGTGAAGATTGGTAACAGTTAATAGAGGAAGTAAATACTTTGTCCCTGTTTTAGTATTTTTTTCTTCGCTTCTTTTTTTTAATCTTTACCTCGTCTTTCACAACCTATAGTTTTCTTGGGAACAGGATTGGAAAAAATTTCTATGTATTCACAGAGTAAGGCCGAATGGAGTTATTGATATCTGTCAACGAATTCGATTTCTATAGCGATTCAAATTGACCTTATGGTAAATAGATTTTGGATTGCGATATTGATTTTGGGAAGCTCTAAGAGCGGATGAGAGGTTCAAACGATGTTAATAACATTTTGTAAAATCTCCGAAATACTAACTTGGGACTTTCTTTTATATGTTATTCAAATTGTCACTTTAATTATCATGACTGAGGGTACCATCATTACTATCACACGCTCAGAAAGAAGATCACGATTCTCTTTATAACATAAATTATACACTAGTATTTTCGTAGACGCGCCGATTATTGCACGTCGCGTATTCACTATAACGTTGACTATGATAAACAGATTAAATACCAAAAGAAATTCTGCCACACACGTACGTACATACGCACGCAAACACAGTCATTCGTACACACATAAGTCAAAAAACATCATACGAAATGAATTATACGAATGCAGTACAAGTGTTCGAATCTCGTAGACGTAGAGTGAACGTTTAGTGTATCGATATTCTCGATATCTACGATATTTCCGATATCGGAAAACATCGAGGCACGATAAGCCGAATATATTGCCTTAGTTACACCATACAATCGTACGCGTTGTAATCTCAGCCATTTCACTTTCAGAAGGTAAAAGAAATAATTCGAGAAAAAAATAATGAAAGGAAGATAAAAGTGTTTCGCGTGTCACGCCTCGTCACGCTCGCAATTAAATCACAGACAGACGGTATGGTACGATACGGTACGACAATGATAAATTAAAAATACATGTTGTACCAATTGATATTATGCTATGTTCGGTATAACATAAGAAACACTATATTTGCTTTCTTCGAGTAAGGACATGCGAATGTACAAGCGTATACGCGGCATTGCGACTGTTTCACTCACCCGATTAATCGGCTCGATTAATCGTTCGTTGATCGCTGAACTCAATCTTTCATCAATATCCTAGTATTTTTGTATCATCGGCAATTCGAGCGGCGATGAAGTGGCGATGATTGTTAAAAGTACGATTTCTTCATACCAATCCCGTTATTGTTCGTTATCCGTTCCATCCTATTCTTTTTTCAGTTCATCACGCGTATCCACTATTGCGATTCTGGCAACAGTATGCCTGATGGAAAAAAAAGGGAAGTAACATTCGATTGTCAGTGTATCAAGAGACAACTGGCAATACGAATTTAACAATTACCAGTCGACTACATAGCGTTCTCTTGATGGTTTTCTTGGAACAATAGAGTCTCCTCAAAAATATATTGTTTTAACACTTCTTTTGGAAGATCATCCAACTCCATGTCGAACCTAAACGGCTCCTCCGCTACAGGCTGAAATTTACGAGTACAATATTACTTGTAATTACAATTAACGTTGTTAATTCGTGATTGTTTACTGCATATAGAAATATACTTCATCGGCAGGGTCATAATATTGCTCCAAGTAGGGATGTGCTAATGCGTCTTCCACCACAATGCGCTTATTAGGATTGAACGTCAACATTTTATCTAGGAGGTCCAAGGCTTTTGGATCGGCATTGGGGAAAAGACTCGTCCACGGTACCTTTGGTTTATATGGCAACGATTGGAGATAATTCCGTGCCTAAAATCAGAACGCTTTAATATCATTATGTTATAAATGTAAGGTGCGGGTCGATCAGCGTACAAACTGCAATACAAAACATATATTCTGGATTAGACTCTATGAGATGCAAAAAAAGGAGGTAGATGTAAGCATCCAGTACTTTCTCGTTTATGATGCACTCGAGATCTTCTGGCGAAGGCGATCCGAGAACACCGAGAATATGATTCAACTGATCTAGATAGTGTTTGCCGGGGAATATCGCTCGTCTCGAGAGCATCTCCGCCAGGATACAGCCTACCGACCAAATGTCTATGGATTTGGTATAACCCTGTGTCAAGAGAACTATGTTAGAGCCACGTAGACGTAAATGAAATGTTCACGGTCTTCATTCTTCGAATGCGTTTGAGACGCTTATGAGACGAATACCTTGGAATTAAGCATAATTTCTGGAGCTCTGTACCACCTCGTGGCCACGTATTCCGTGAGGAAACCCGCGTGATTGTGCTCCGGATCCGCGACTCTCGCTAGACCGAAATCGCAAATCTTAAGGTCACAGGTGGTATTCAATAGCAGATTACTCGGCTTCAGATCTCTATGTAACACGTTCGCCGAGTGTATATACTTCAACCCCCGCAATATTTGGTACAGAAAATAACATATGTGATCGTTACTAATAGCCTGCAAAATGACAATTTTATTTGGACGTTTCATTAAATCTGCATTATGTTCTTTTTTCTTTTTAACCTTTAACGCAGGTCTACAGAATATATTGATACTTACTTGTGTCTTTAGTAATTTATAGAGATCAGTTTCCATCAGACATTGAACGATATATACGTCTTTCATTTGCTCCATAGTTGGCGCTCTTAATATATCCCTTATATCTATTATCTATTGCGAGAGAGAACGCGATATATTAATAACGATACTTTAAAGGTATGCTAAACGCAAACTGTTACAGCTTATTATCCAACTTACATTCTCGTGCTTAAACCTTGTAAGAATTTTTATTTCCCTTAAGGTTCTCTGACTATACGTTTGATGTTCAAAAGGCGATATCTTTTTTATGGCTACTTTCGTTTTGGTGAGGTTGTCGTAGGCGGACCTGCAAGAAAATATTATAAAGGTAAACCTAGCTACATTTATTATTCAACGAAGATCTCTTTAGCGATGCTGCTTCAGGCGCCTCATAATTCTCGAATTATCCCGCAGTACACCTCGGGTCATATGAATAAAAGAAAATCTTTTTCAGCAAACTGTAAAAGTAGAAGAACAAATATTTGCTTCAAAATAAAAGTACAGGATGAAAAAAACGCAATTTGAACAACTAATCCTTTTGCTACAAAGGCAATAAAGCACAATAGAGATTCCACACTCCTGCGCATCTTTTTTATTCGAAACTTTTTTATTTCATATATTCATGATTTAATAAATGCAATCTTTTTTTTTCACGTACTTGTGAATTCAAAATTTATTTTTAAGACAGATTAATAAAAATAAAATAAAACCAATAGAAAAAATTCCTTTATATTACAAATATTAAAAAATATCTGAAAATCTCAAGTATAATCCTGCAATTTATTTTAAAATAAAATAAATAAAGAAAAAAAAATTGATAAATAAAAAGACGATTTTTATTTTGTCATACACATTCTTCCGTTTTTGAACTTTTTTTTATGCACGTACATTCGTTTCGTATTTTATTCGTGATCGTATAAGTGTACAAAATATATATATATAATATTTTTGTACGCTATATCTCTGTATATACATATATATGATATACTTATAAATAATAAAGATTATGTATCGATTATAAATAATTGTATATAATATAAATTGTATATAAATTATTGAAGAAGTTAAAACAAATACATTCAATCGTGAGAAAACAAAGTTTTCGAACGCATTTTTATATTTCAAAATATACATTTTTTAAGTAGAAAATTAAAATAAATTAAAATTAAGTTAAATAAGATTTTCTTCTATTCATACATTTCCATAAATTTGCGTCACGATAAAAACAAATGCCTTTTTATCTGTCTGCTCATCAGAAGACGCAAACTCAAGTAATCTAATATCTTTGTATTTATATTTTTCAGAACACATTCCCTTTCGGTAACTATAAGACTGGAGACTGAAGCAGTCGCTTATTTATTCATCCGGCGCATTTGTTTATCTTTTCTGCTATCGTCTGGAAAGCTTGATCTAACTTAGTGTGAGTTTATCCATAGAAAAACTTGTGTCTTTGATAGTATCGCGATGGTAGAATGTGGTTCACGCGTGATACAGGATTCTTAGCGATAACATCGAATTCGCTCGATTTTACACGATGTGTCTAGATGCATTACATCAGAAGTCGCGACCAGGAGTTCCGGTTGATCAAAGAAGCAGTGGTAACCCAATCCTTCGAATAAGATAACATTTTAATATTTTTATTTTCATGTGTGTCAAAATGTAAATCAATCCATTTCTGCAGTAGTAAATTTCAAAGTAAACATCATCCATATTTAGAAAACACATTTGAAAAATCACATTTTATTTATTTTTTAATTTTACGTGCATTAAAATATAAATCTAACCATTTGTGTGGTGAGTTTCAAAATAAACATCGTCCATATTGATGTATGCAGTTAGAAAATAATAAATTAAATTTAAATCAAATTTAATATATCTTTTTTTTTTAGTTAATTTGTTTGATTCCATTGTTTTAGTCAAATTAACTTTGTATTGGATATGAGCAATCGCTATCTAAAGAAATTATAAAAAAAACTCGAATTAGATATAGCTGAGAGATAGTTTCGATATGCCTTTGGACAAATCTAAACTTTATGCGATAGATAACAGAATACGGAGACGTCATAAAGTAATTAAATAAATGAAAAATGCAATAAATAATTTTCTTTATTATAAATTCTGTTAAATTCATAATGTTAAATTATACTCAGCTTGAGTTATTTTTAATAATTTTTATAAGTCATTACTGACTCAATATGTCGTTAATTTAAATAAAACAATAGAATTAAACAATTTAACTCAAGAAAATGTATTAAATTTGTAATTTTAATGTATAGTTTATTATTTACCAAGAAACATTAATATACTCATAGACATTAAAATTAATCACAGAAATGTCAGAAATATAATAGATTGATTTACATAAAAGTTAAAAACAACAAAATGTTATTTATAACTTAAGAGATCGAATTGTCATTGTTCTTTTGATATCTAATAGTGGCCTAATTTATATCGTGCATTTGATACACGTATCAGGTACTATATTTGTACCAAATTCGTACTAAATATGTAAACGCTGACAGATCATTTTGGTACAAGCGTATCAAGCAGGAGTGTTGTACTAAATTGATACGCGTATCAAATGATACAAATGACGATGCAAACACATGAAACACATTTTGGAGGGAATCTAGCATTACGTATAATCTCAAAGCTGGTGTTATATCATTAATATTTGGTCTCTCTTGAATATTATTATATATTAAAATGTTTTATGAAATAGCAATGGATTGGAGATAAGAAGAAACACGAACATTTTTAGAATTATGTATCGAGAAGCAGATTATTTTATTAATAGACGGGAAAAAAACATAAAAAAAACATATTGATACTTTAATCATTAGAAGCTTTTCTGTGAATATATTGTAAATTTTTAAATATATGAAACTTGGCGCCAGATATTTTCTTGCACAATATTATTATACATCTTCTCGTTTTCATATTTAATAAATGATAATTTTATATTTATAAATAAATAATTTAAATAAATAATACACTCCTCTTACAAAAAAGGAACTCAAGCAATTTATAATTTTAAACCATCACTAAGAAGTAAAACGGGAATTAAATTTGTATTATTCTCCTTTAGTACGTTCAATGTACCTACACTAAAATATTAGTATGTATCAAACTTATGAGTCAATTCTAAGTAGAATCGTAAAGATATATCCACACAAACATATGCATAAAGCAAATTATCCAATTACATTTCTTCTACAAAGTCGCATACGTAAAATGTGATTGCATAATTTTCTTTATGCATACCTACGTTTATGCGGCTATGTAAGTTTGTGTAGATATGCCCTAAAACTTGTAACTTGGTCTCGTAAAACTAATGAGAACTTATGACTGGTATTCTAATTTTATTCATATGTATCGTAAGATTGTTAATAAATATCTACGATTTCTTGTAACTTTTATGACTAGTAAAAGGCTGTCTGTAAAAATATCGTATACAAAAGTATAAGCACTTAAAGAGTTTTTTTTATAAATCTTACGAAAATATGTTACGAGAGAGCTGCTTAGAATTAGGCATTAATAGTACGTGTATCAATTCATGATGTAAACTAAACCAGTAAACTGGCGTTATTTTTTGGAAAGATTGTATTACCGATAAATAATATTAAGCTATGAATGAATTACACTGAGACAGTATTCCGAAAATTTATATTCGTTTCACTAACAAGATCTATAAGATTATAACGAGATTAAGGTAAGAGAAGCTAAAGGGATCAAGATACGCGGATCAAAGGCAACGCGAGTTAAGAGGAAAGCCCTTTTTAGTCGCTTATAAGTCGGGGCTCCGATATTTTTATTCGACATCAATATTATCAACGCAACATCGTAATTATAGAAAAATCAATTCCGAATTTCTCAAAGAAACTATACCGTCAGAATCCAAGAGCGTCGGGATTTAACTCGCGAAACGGAAATATTCTCTCCGAAATATCTTTTGGCGCGCAAAGATATTCCGTCGTTTCGCTTTCAGTCTCAGTTCAGTATTTGCGCGCGCGTAAGGGAATATTAAATGACAAATACACAATATAGCGATAGAAAATACGAGAGACGCGAGGATAATCTCAGCAGAAAGCGCGCGAACAATTCACCTACGTAATTTAACGCGAATTCGTCGCGATGTAATTCGTCCTGAAACGCAATCACGTTAAATAGCAATAGATGATAAAAACGATAAGATAAGATTAGCGAATCGCTAAGTGAATTTTCGTCCAATTAGCATGACGGAGTGAGTGACGAGAAAGATAAAATAGATAAAACGAGGAGGTAGACGGCGAAAGAAGAGAACGAGTGGTAGAATATGCGGATAATAAGGAAGAAGGAGCGTGAATGAGGAAAAATACGGTGAAAGGGGCGTGACGTGCATTTGAAAGTGATGTAAAAGCGCGATGCGTTGCCGTGCGTGTACACGCGTACGTCATGCGTGCGCGCGCGTGTACATACACGAGCCCATGGGAGCCGGAGCGGTGCGGCGTGGCGCGGACGTCGACGCGTATTCCCGATCGGCGGCATTTGTCCGTAAGGGGGCTTTTGTCTCCGCGGACACGCGAGAACGCACGTATTTATCTCGAGTGTCCCGACAACTGCCGACGATCGTGAGACGCGCCGCGAGATCACCGCTCGGATCGGCGCGTCGCCGCGCCGCTCGCGAATGTTTATTGTCAGAAGTCGACCTGTCAGATCGGGGAAGATCGGCCGGCGGCCGATCGAACCTGCTGATCGAGCAGCCGTGACACGATGATTGGAACACTTACACGACCATGCCGTAGGCGCCCTCGCCCATATATGATAGATTCGTGTAGCGCGGCCCGACCTCGAACGTTTGCCCGCGCACCACCTCGCAATTCGGATTCACGCTGGCGGAACCCTCGCACGCCGCCATTTTGACAACTACTTTGCGGCACGGTGCGTCCCGTCCCGTCGTCCCCGGAGTGTGGCTCGGCGAAACGTTTCCCCGCGCGTAAAACCTCTCGCCGAGAGAGCGACCAGCGACGCGCAACGACGCCGCGTCACTGACGCCGCCGCGCTCTTCCACCTTCCACCAGTCCGGCTATCCGCGCCCCGCACCTTGGCCGCGCTCTGGGTGGGCGCGGCGTGGGAAATCTAAAAGGCGGATAAAAAAACGAGCGTTCGCAACGCCTCTGCCGTACGAAGATGTAAGCAGCGATTAATCCCGCGGCGGCACCCGGCATCCGGATCTCCTGGACGACACCGGACGATCCCCGGAGTCATTTGAGAAAGACGAGGACAAAGAATCTGTATCATGCCAAACTTAAGAATGAGAGAGAGAGAGCGCATGCAGGTTCCTTGAAATGATATAATTTGAGGTTTCCTCTCTCTCTCTCTCTCTCTTTCTCTCTCTCTCTCTCTCTCATTCTTTGTCTCAATAATAGGCACATCAGGCGCATGATATGTCACTCTTCCTAGAAATTGAAACAAGTTTTCCTTAAAACACTATTATTATTATTATTATTATTGAATAAATAAGTTGTAATAAATAACTGTAAGATATTATGCCTAATGTCGTCCTTGCCGTCCGTATCGTCACGTTTCTCATGCCTTTTTCGATTAATATTAGATCAAATATCAAACATCAATGAAGGACGAAGCCATTGACAAATATTTGAACTCGTTCGAATGACGTCATTGCGAATTGGCTACTATCGAATCGTCGTATCGACTTGTCGCAATCGATTGTCGACTCACAGTGATAGTGAAACAAGTGATATGCAATCCGTGGAATTTTTCCCGACGACAGCGTTTGTGCGCATGCGAAAGCTGACGTCACAGATTCATGTCGGCTGCTCCCAGAGATGAATCCATTATCCAGTGCAACTTTTGGTTTCTGTAAAAGGGGTCTTAAATAATTTTCGTGCATTATTTTTTGCGAGAGATAGGCAGATAAGTTAGTCTACCTTATCGCAAAAAATTATTAAGGATCCCTTAGGCCGGAATCAGACTACGCATTGAACATTGAGATTAAAGATTGAAAGATTGAAATTTGGCCAATCAAAATAATAGGAGCAAAAATTCTTTTATTCTCATTGGTCAAATTTCAATTTTTAATTTTTAATCTCAATTTTCAATGCGTAGTCTGATTCCGGCCTTACAGGCATCAAAATTGCACTGGATTCATCTCTGAAAGCAGCTGACAAAGAAAACAATTATTATAATGATTATAATATTATGGGAAGTATCTAATAAAAAAAAATAATTTTATTGAATTAAAAATGAGATAATAATTTTTATGCATCTAAAATAAAAATAATCAACTAAAAATGAGACAAAAAAAATTTTAAACTTAATATAACAATAATTACTGGGAACTTATTCATTTCGCGCACTCCATTTTTGCCAACATAAAATCAAGAGAGTTGCCGTACTGTATCAACAGTGGCGGACGATATCCTTACAGCTGCAAGCGGGTTGGAAATCGTATCACTGGGGGTGAAGGGGGTCTTCTTAACATTTACCTTGTTAATAATTGATGAAGCGAGATGAATGCACCTCCGACCTTCGAGTCATTCTTATTATACGAGGGAGAGAAAAAGTACGCTGATCTTCGATGCTATTGGGATGTAACCTTAATTTAGGTTCTAGAAACAATATACATATGTTAATATTTGCGCTTTTTATAGGATAATAAAGGAACAGGACACTAAAGTACCAAATGCTGCGATCTTTACGATTAACAAGGAGGATCACACTTTGGGAAACATGATCCGCAAGTGAGTAAATGTATGAGTACGTTACCTTAGTTCCTTTAGGTAGTTAACTAATTTAGTGAATTTTTTTTAATTCTACAGTCAATTACTGAAGGATCCTCAAGTATTATTCGCTGGTTACAAAGTTCCTCATCCCCTGGAACACAAGTTTGTTATTAGAATACAAACAACTTCAGATTACACTCCACATGAAGCGTTTATGCATGCCATCACTGATTTGATCGCAGAACTTTCATTGTTTGAAGAACGTTTTAAGGTACACTTTTATAATACAAGATGTAAAGTTAATGTACATGCATAGCCAAAGGTACTTCTTTTTTCAGGAAGCAATAAAAGAGAAGAAAGAAGGTTTGGATTAAACGGCTGAGTCTACATTTCATAATTATGTCCTTTTATATCTAGATTTAAATTTAGTCTATTAAAGTATTTGTATATTGGATATCATAGACATAATAAATACATATCGTATAAATGAATGTTACAAAGAATTGGATCAAATCAAAGCACATTGATAGGATGAGAATAATTAGCTTCTGACTACTTTTTATGATTTATATTTCAGCATATTCCATTTTTATAATATACATAATATTTAAAATATTAATTACTAACTGCGAATAAATTTGTGTATTAAGTTACATTCTATGTTTTCAATTAATTATATTTTCTTCACCCGTGCACGTAATGTGCCCTACACCTTAACGCTTTTGCGTGCAGTAAATAGCCAATACCTGAAGCCGTTAAGTTATTTCTCTAATCCCACTCGTCTGCGCAAAAACTTGCTGTATAGGGCACATTACAACGAGCACTTGTAAAGAAAAATTCTATGTGTGGAGGCATATTTGTTTATAGGTCGACACTCGCTTCGCTCGTGCGGTCGCGCTTGTCCCCACAATAAACAACATTCCCTCACCGTTACACAATGTACTATTGTATATATATCCTATTGACACTATATGGTATTTTGTGTGTGTGTACACAAAAAATTACAATAAAATAATTGCAATGATTACAATTATCATTTATTTATAAATTATTATAATTCAATATCAATGTATATACGGTTAGTTTACATATTACAATGCAGGATACAAAATGAGTAATTACGTTTTATTACAATTAAAATTATATGAAGATAAAGAACAATCTTTTATATTATTTCTTCCACAAAGTTTGGATCTTGACTAAACTCTATAAACCATTTAGCTGCAGTAGTAGTGGTCGGTAAAGTAATCATTTTCTTCAAAACTCTATATACTTTAGTACTATGATGATATGTAGCTGCAGCAAATTGCCTCATATATTCACTATAAGTTTTCTTAGTGATAGCAGTTTCATTATTTGCAAATTCATGCAAAAATAATTCTTTTCTTTCCTCGCAGATGTACTTGTTAATGGCATCTTTTATTATTTGCATACCGATACTTTTTTCATCGATTACTTTTTGTTTTAAACGTACTTCCAAGTCCTTAATTTTTTCATCACGTTGTTTCAAACGTTTTGTCAAACTTTGTATAATTTTATTATCGGATTCCTCATAGTTCCGTTTCAGCGTTTGCACACCAACTTCTCTTTTCAAAATGTATAAATTTGCATTTTCCTGTAGTATAATAAGATAATTATTTTTTTTATATAATTAAATTATAATTACGTTTTAAAAATATAATTACACATTTTTAATCTATAACATAATAAATTTTTATTATACAATTACCGTTTTACAATTTTCATTACTAATATCTAGTGGATCAACTTCCATATTCAACATATTTGGAAAAATCTCTTTATCCTAATAAAAATATTCTTTTGTAAATAAATTATATTATATATATAAACTTACTATTAAGATAGATTTAATATTTATGATAAAACAAGTAGTCAAAATAAGAAAACAACTCAGTTAATAATAATAAAATAGCACAAATTTAATTCCTTTTTCTAATAGAAATAGTGTTAAATATTATAATTTCTTATTCTTATTTCTTACATGTAGTATCTTGGATTCTCATCTTAACATTTAGATGTACTTCGAGTATGACGATAATGTCAAAGGGTCATGGTTATTCTGTTTCTGAATTATAAATAATGCTAATCAAACAAGCCAATCTTGACTGAAGAGCGCATAATTCTTACATCATAATTTTATAAATTTATAAAAAATCAATTTATGTAAAAATCAGGTTTTCTAGTCAAGATCCAATCAAGAAGCTTGATTGATTAGCAATATTTATAATTAAGGAGTAAAATGACCATGGTTCTAACATCACACTCAAAGTGTATCCAAATTAAGATGAGAATTCAAGATACTATGGGTCTGTTTTTTGTTCCTATACTGTCTATAAAAATGAAACAAACATATATTTGCTTCACTTCAACATATTGCACCATATGTACTAGTTTAGACAGTGCAGGAACAAAAAACAGACCCTTTATGTAAGAAATAAAAACAAGAAATTACAATATTTAATACTTCTATCAGAAAAAGGAGGTAAATTTGTGTTTTTAATGTAATAATAATCAGTAATAAAATAATAATTTCATGCGTTTAGATCATATAAATGTCGAAGACATTGAAAATGATCTCAATGTTAGTTGAAATGTTTATTTTTTTTAATTTTATATTGTATTAAAATAACTGCCTAGCTCTTATCCCTTTATTGTATATATTACTTGATAAAATAAGATTTACTTACTAAATTAATTAACTGATACTGAGACTCTCTCTCTTGAGACTGGTTATCTTCAAAAATTGTTGGAATAGCATTCCTATTTAATATATTTCGTGCAGATCTAAATGTGGATACGGAAAAACATTCTACTTTAAAATGTTTACTACATATTCTAGAATTGTGGGTTATATCAGTACTCCTTAAAATTTTAGGTGGAATTGCTGAAATCCACTGTCTGCGTAAAATTTCATCTTTCGGAAAACTAAAAATAAAATTTGTATGAAAATATAAAATAAACATTTTTCATGTCACTTTTTTCCTATACTTCAATTACATATTTTTTTTAACTTAATAACTATATACACATATATTTTAGATAATTATATTTATATTTACGATATTTACCAATGAAAAGTAATAATATCCCCTTTTATCCACAAACTTTTACAGTTACTAATACAGCAATTAACTACCATTTTTATTCTTTTTAAGTGTCAAATAATATAATGTAGAGGTAATATATTTTTTAATTTTTTCTTCGATTGGAGGAAGTATAAGATGTCTTCTACAGTTTTGCGTAGTACTTTACAAACATAGTCCGTTCTTCATGTTTAGGTTAAAATCACTAACATCAAAACGCTCATAGCTCCAGCACACTGGACACGGAAACGCTTGCCGCGCGGCAAAAGGTGCGATCCACTTCACACTGCAAATGCCTTGAAGCATTCTTTGATTGGTCAATTTGTAAAATTCTTTCTTCTGATTGGTCAACGAAGCATTTGCAGCATTAAGCTGAAATCACACGATGCGGAATAGGACTGCGGAATATAGAGTGCGTCATTGAAGCAACCAATCAGCGCTATTCCGCATTTTGCTTTGTAGCACTGATTGATCTAGTTTATACCCAGCCGTCCAATCCCGATTCACTTCGAAGTGAAATGAAATTTCTTGGGTGTAAACGGATTAGTTTCGACTGATTTCAATCCTCTTTTCTCAGCGGAGTAAAGGTTGATTTATACTGGCCGTAAACTGTTAACTTATGCCGTAATCTGTAAAAATTGACCAATCACAGTCGAATGAGAGGGGAATAATCGATTATAATTGGTCAATTTTTACAGATTACAGCATAAGTTAACAGATTACGGCCAGTATAATCCAACCTTAAGTCATAAATCAGAAGTAAGAAACTAAAAATTGACGACTGTGATTGGTCCATTTCTAGCTTATGACTTATGATTTATGACTTACGGCTTATTGTAGAAGGCCCATACAGCATAATGTTTATATCATGCGACGATGCGACTGTTCCGTTGGCCATAATCAGACAAATTGCCCAAACTCTGGCCGGTATTTATAGTCAGTTCTTATATTCAAGACCGTCTTAAGTTCAATCTTGAGGAGTTACGAACCAATCAGAGGGCCGCTTTAGCATCTTATAAGGCATTACTTAAGGCAGTCTTGAAATAAGAACCGACTATGAATACCGGCCTCTGATTGGCTGACATACCCCCGCTCCTCTCAATCCACTGCGCATCCACCGGAATGGTTCACCTTCTATACTTCCACCCATAGAATAGGGAGAAACTATTCTTTGACTTCCACCATGCTGTCGGGGCAGTACTACGTGGCTATGACACATTTCCTAACCTCCATAATCGTCAACTTTAACGCTTAATATCTCGGTTCGCGGGCCAGAGCAACGCTTATTTCTGCGAGATTCTTTCGTTTTATGCAAAAACGCGTCGAATGAGTCTAATTTAATCGATTTTTAAGAGAGAATTGCCCTATATTTGACCTTTACCATGGAGGGTAAATCAGTCGAAGATCCTAAAGATGTAGAAAACGTCGAAAAAATCACATGGAAAGATTTGGTAAGTACTCGGCCACAGTGATCTTAATTATAACCTCACTTAAAGTTATACATATTGTTAGCACTGTACCTACGGAATTTTTTATGAAAGATTATTGAAGTAGTAAATTATAATACGTATGTTTATATTGGTTTCCCGAAACAAGTTCCGAATTGAATTTGAATCTTACGAATCCTAGTTCTCGTCTGTAGTCTATGATTATGAATCTATAATGCAACCTATAATTATGAAATGATATCTCTTAGAAATTGTTAATTTATTAAAATAGTCAAAGAATTGAAGAAAAGAAGAAAGATGAGATATAATATAATATAATAATTTTTTTACACTAAATTAGCGATAAAAGACAAATAAATAGAAATAAAGGATGTGGAAGATAATAAGAAAAGATGGAAGAGAGAAGGGGAGGGGGAGAGTAGCCATATATTTTGAGAAGAAAAGTGGGAGATGGAAAAAGAGAGAGAAGCAGCATATATTTATTCAAGCATCCTGGGATATGATCTCTAGTGCACAATTTGTTAATTTTATGAAAATTATTGACGGTCGAAAGTTTTTGAAAAAATATGTACAAATCAAGCACATTATAACAAACATTTTTTTTTGTTTTTCTCATATTTTTTAGTTTTGATGTTAACATTTGAGAAAAATATAAATTTTCAATTTTATGGAATTTAAGAACAAATATTATGGAAACAAAATTTAAACACTAGTTTAATAAAAATATATTTCTCTTTAAAATGCATAAACTTTTTAAATAATTAATAAAAATTAAATTAATTAATAAAATAATAATTGTTATTACAGGGACTTGTAGATACACTCTGTAAAACATGTTTAGATTTAAAATGGGAAGAACCTACCAGGATTCAACAAGAAGCTATTCCTTTGACGCTTCAAGGTAAAAATAATAATTTAATTATAACCAAATTCTAAAAAGTAACGACCATTTTATACTAATAGGTAAGGATGTAATTGGATTAGCAGAGACTGGATCAGGCAAAACAGCTGCTTTTGCATTACCAATACTACAAGCGTTATTAGAAAATCCTCAGAGATACTTTGCATTAGTATTAACACCTACAAGAGAATTGGCATTTCAAATCTCAGAGCAATTTGATGCGTTAGGTAAGAACTACTTACTTTGTCTATTAAATAGTTTTATTTCACATTACAATTATTTTAGGTTCCAGTATTGGTGTAAAAACTGTAGTGCTAGTAGGTGGAATGGACATGCATGCACAGGGAATGATACTGGAGAAGAAACCTCATATCATCATTGCTACACCTGGTAGATTAGTCGATCACTTAGAGAACACAAAAGGCTTTAATTTACGACAGTTAAAGTTTCTGGTAATTATACATATATGATAAAGATACGGATTTATTTTGATGGTTATTATGTTAATTCTAGTCTTTTATTTCTTGTTTTTTTTTATTTACAAGGTAATGGACGAGGCAGATCGTATCTTGAACATGGATTTCGAGGTAGAAGTTGATAAAATTCTTAGAGTAATACCACGGGAAAGAAGAACGTTATTATTTTCGGCAACGATGACTAAGAAAGTGCAGAAGTTACAACGTGCGTCCTTACGAAATCCTGTAAAAGTTGAAGTGTCCACCAAATATCAGACTGTAGAAAAACTGCAACAATATTACATATTTATTCCAGTGAGATTCAAGGTACGAAATGTAAACGATATAACTATTAAGTCGTAAAATAAAATAATAAAAATAAAATATCAATTATCACATGTAATATATTTGTAAAATATTTACCAAAATAGTTGTATATAAAACGATTGTTGCAGGATGTATATCTTGTACATATCTTGAATGAACTGGCGGGTAATAGTTTCATGATATTTTGCGGAACCTGCAATAACACAGTAAGGACTGCCCTATTGTTGCGAAACTTGGGATTCACGGCTGTTCCTTTGCACGGACAAATGACGCAGAACAAGAGGATCGCAGCACTTACGAAATTTAAAGCGAAGAACAGGTCTATTTTAATTTCAACGGATGTTGCTAGCCGGTTAGTTTGAATCATAGTTATATTGAAATATTTTTTGTATTAAAAATAAATTTTTAATTTAATTTTTGCATATTTTTTTAGAGGTCTTGATATTCCGCATGTAGATATCGTCATTAATTTTGATATTCCTACACACAGTAAGGATTATATACACAGAGTAGGTCGAACTGCACGTGCAGGTCGATCAGGTCGTTCCATCACATTTGTTACACAATATGACGTGGAGTTGTATCAACGAATAGAACAGTTGATATCAAAACAATTGCCGTTATTCCCTACGGAAGAGGAAGAAGTAATGTTGCTGCAAGAAAGAGTAAGCGAAGCGCAGCGAATAGCAAAAATGGTAAAAACAGTGTTACAATTTACGATTTAATCACAGATGTAGACAATTACATATAAATGTTATTGTAATATTCTAGGATATGAAAAACATTGAAGATAACAGAAAGTCAGGCAAACGGAAAAAACGCGGTGGTAACAACGAAGATGACGATACAGAACAATCTCTTGGTGTGAGGAAAAGAATGAAAATAAAAAGTAAAAGAAAATGAGGACACTAGACATTCATAAGATGATTCTTAATATTAATTGCAATTAATTTGAATGTAATAAAAGATTTTTTATGACTTTCGTGCTTTAAAAATTACTTCCGTATTACTGGAGTATTATTAGAACTTTGTTACAGGTTTGCAATGTTTCAGTAAAAGTTGATATTTCACCGTCATATCAAAGGATATTATATAATAAAGTTTACATGCTTCATATATTGCGAGCTAAATTTTGAATCAAATTAAGCAAATATGAATTGTATGATTGTAGTAAAATAGATCGCATAACTGCACATAAGATTTAATAAGTTCGAGATTTTATTCGACAATATACGGTTTAATAGAGAACAAAAATTCAACAATCTTGTATCTATATCTCATTTGCAAATAAAGAAATATTTTTTTCGTCACATATTCATTAGACATTATATATTTTCTCATAATTAGTATTATTGTATATCATGTTGTATATTTTTATATATTAGAGATTCCGAATTCATGTTAAAATTTATCATTCTAAAACTAATATCAGAATATGCACGATTCACTATTGGTTATTATTTAAGATTTTCGTTATTCACAAATATATAGATTTCCACACTGTAATTTATGATTTTTCTTGTATTTCGATATGATAATTTGGTAATTTTCGATTTTTATAATCTTTATAGTCTTTGATTTTATAATTATATGTGAGTATTTCTTTATATCTTCTATAAGCACATTGTAAATATATATATATATATATATATATATATATATATAAAATCAAAATCAGATTGTATTACTTAATAACTGTAAAGTGTAAGAGATTCATCAACCTAAAAACCAAGAATCAAATTACCATAATGAAAAATCCATCGTAATAATCTAATCGATTTTTTAATCAATTATATTGATTACTATAATCAGCTATCCTAGAATACTACTAAGGCAAATATGAATTTTAATGTATAGTGTAGTATTATGCACGAATTAATATGAACGGATTGATTTTCGTGATTTTTTTTTTGCGTCTTTTAAATTTGTTACAAAAATCCACCACATTGACAAATTAAAATTTGATAAGCGACAAATTTGTTCATTCATCATTCATCTTATACGAATAACGAAAACTACGAATCAAAATTACGAATCGTGCATAGTCTAGTAGCGCAAGCTTGACTGGATTAGCGGATGAATGATAGGACGGAAACTTGTACGAAGATGCTTCTGTAAAATTTGGAATATAGACCCAGTTTACATCGAGCATTTGATACGCGTAGTAACTTTCAATTGAATTATCTTAATTTTAGCAATTTATTTAAAGAATGATGTATATACTAAATTAGTACAATATACATCGAGAAATGATTAAATACATATCATGTATGTGTTTACATATATCGCTGAAATTAAATTTAATAGAAAGTTACTAATTAGTACCCTAATTAGTATTAAGTGCACAATGTAAACTAGGCTATAATTAACTCAAGCAATAAGGTAAACATTGTTATACTGAAGAAATTAGTACTGTATTTTAACGACTTGAAGTCTTTGCACAAAGCAGTGTATGGTATTTAAATATCACTCAAATAATCACAATAAAATATATTATTAAGTAAAATCACATTTCTTCATCATTTGCAGTGAACGCGTTAGAGGAAAGTAATTCGAGGCATCGAAGACAAAATTTGTTATTATATAACAAATGGACGTCTTCTTTCTCTTGCACGCTTCTATTTGAGTGTTATCACATAAGCAGAAATCCCGTTTACAAGAAGAAATGCAGACAAAGGAAAGCACGTTCGTCCCTACAGCAGAAAAGTGTTATAACGATCGTTATGTACAGCTTTTACACTACTGTAAAATCGATAATTGATTTGTTTTCAAACTTCTATAGAAAACCAGTAATCCATTGTACAAGTTTTTGTAGTACAAAATACGGTACAAGAAACACGGTAAGTATTCCTTCGAATTTACAACTACGATGCATCCTCTAATCGCTAAGAGATTATTAATTGTATAAAGTGGCAACAGATCCTTATTTTTCGTGATCTTTTGAAACCGCTAAGCGGCGCGCATAATCACATATCGCGCTGATTAACAAATATAAACGTGCAGTTGAAGAATATTTTTCGGTGTTTTACCATTGTTGTTTTGTTCTTGCAAAAAGCATTAAATTAAATGCTGCAATTTTAAACTGTGATATCCATCACGCATTTAATTCGGTTATCAATTTGATGCAAGCTGTTAACAAACACATTTTATGTGCAAGCAAGTACTCAATAAAAACGTCAGTATCAAACATAAAGTTTTGGATGTGGTCGGAATTGCGGCCAATTTCGTGCCCAGATTAACCCGTTAAGTCTTAAGAGAATCTTACGTGTTTTAAAATCTTGTAACTTAAGTTTTACTCAACATTTTTAGACAGTTGGTATTTAGGTGTAAAGAATTTTTTTTTAGAAAATCTGGTAATAGCACAGAATGTTAAAAAAATATATGAAAGTGGAAATAAAAAATATAAATAATTCCTGACTTTTTATTGATAAATATTTGACTAATAAATGGTTTTATCTATCTTTTGTAATATAATAAATCAATATAATTATTATTTGAGTGACCTGTAATAATTATGTCCATGTATTCTACTAGAAAAGCTAGATGAAATCATTAGTCGAATACTCGTCAATCAAAAAGTATGGAATTTACTTCTTCCAATTTTTACGTCTTTTTTCTCAGACATTTCATTTCATTACAAAGTAGATTTAAAAAAAAAAAATTTTTTTTGTAAATATAAATTAGGATCAAACAATTTTGATTAAGACCCGATGTATAACAGAATTTAAAACAGAAAATCGCGTAGAAATCTTCTAGGACTTAATGGATTAACCCTTTGCGGCATACATTTTTTTTCAACAAAACTTGATACTTAGGAGACAAATATGTGATACCATAAAATGTGACACTTACAGGAGACTTGTGTATTACAAAAAAAGTAAAAAAAAATACGAAAAACATTAGTAGAAATTGTAAAAAAAACTGAATAGAAAAAGATGATATATGAGTATGTTACTATATATATGCCGCAAAGGGTTTATAAAAATTCCTACATATAATCGTACGCTGTAAATCTCGGTAAACATTTGCCGCGACGTATTTACCACTGTTTTTTTTACATATGTATAATGTTTAAAATCTCTTCGACAAATTAAAGTAAACTTAAAAAAATGTGTAATCGTGCAATTCCGTCGTGCAAATAATATTGATTGCCGAAATCTCTGCAACAAGAGTATTTGCTTAGAGTATACATGTATACGCTACGCTTTATTCAGTAATGAAATTTAGTTTCTATCCCAATAAATAATTATGAAAATTTCAACTTAATTTTTATTACTAGGGAAAGGGGATGTATATTTAATCTCGTTGTCGAAGATTCTTGTGATAATGAATGACGCATTCATGGAACGGAGTCGTTACGGTGTATCAATCCCGTGCGAAATTATTTATTTTAAATGCTGATACTATATCCTTATATAACATGGTTATAAATATACAACAATGTTTAATAAAATTAAAGAATTATAAAAATATATGTACAAAATATTTTAATATTAAAAATAACAATTATTATGTTTCTGTAACGTGTTAGTATAACATTGAATATACTAATAGATATTTTTTCTTTTCTTCTTTTTATTGAAATAATTATGGAACAATTACTCGATCTCGTTTTATAATAATGTTTCATAGTATCAGCAATTTATTCAGATATTAATGCATTTACGATACGTTAGCATTACAGTAATACTGAGTTCATAATAAATAAATTCGCACAGTATGACTCCTCTTTGCGATTCTTGATTAAACATAGATATGCACATGCATATCTACAGCGATTAACGTCATTCGACGAATTAGTAAAGTTGAAATGCTTATAAAGTATCATAATCTGAGGAAATATCTATGTTGCAAAATCTGTAGCATAAAAAGCTTAGCCCATCACGCTACTGTTAACAATATACGGTACAATCTCAAACTTCGACGACGAGTCCCGGCCTTATCAATCGTTAGAACGCATATAAGTAACCTATTTCAAAAGCAGAGTCTAATCACGATGGATGGAATGTTTTCCAAACATAGGTTGAGATGATGTGCTAGTGCGTCAACAAAAATCGAAACAACTTAGGTTTCATTCAAATGAGAAATAAAATATATTCCATAATATTATTATTCACTATTTCTACACATTCTGTACATTAATTCAATTTAAGGGTTTTATACCTCGATACACTTTATACAAAAAGGCTACTTATAATCTAACATTAAGACGTACCATAGCATGAGCGCCCTCCGCCAGACAGCAGACGGGCCGCACGCATGTTTGTACTGGTATTACAGAGTCAGTCGCCAGCAAGTATATCATCCTTTCTCTCCCTCTCTCACGCTCTCTTCTTTCATTCTTTCCGTTATCACACAGCATACTGAATCATTCCATGTGTTTCTGCAATGCTTCTTTCTTCACCGTCCCTCCAATCTCTCTCTCTCTCTCTCTCTCTCTCTCTCTCTCTCTTTGCTTTCTCGGTATCATTTACAATAATTATTTCCCATTCAATCTTTTTGCTTGTATCTTTTTTCATTCTTTTTTTTTTCGTTTGATCTATCCTTCATCGGAAAAAAAGGATTAAGAAAGATTTTGTCATCTCAGCATCGAAATATAATGAAATGCTTTCATTGCTTTCTATGCACAAATTTGTTCTTTTTATAAACTGATTTTTTTTTTTTATAGTGGACTCTACCGATTTTATACCGAACAGAATTATCTTCTAAAAGTTCAGATAACACCGGTACAGAAACGGCGTATTTCGAAGACTCGACGAGCGACAGAACTGTTAATTCAGATCTCTGTCCTCTAAGTACTTGTATTCAAAAGTAAATCCTTCTTTTTTCCTCTGCCCCCATTTCTCATAGTCAAAATAGATGTACGTTCCCTGAAACGCAAGCGATTCTTATAGAACGTCACTAAACATG